TTTTTTTTTTTTTTTTTTTTTTTTTTTTTTTTTTTTTTGAGATGGAGTCTTGCTCTGTCACCCAGTCTGGAGTGCAGTGGCACAATCTTGGCTCACTGCAACCTCTGCCTCCCAGGTTCAAGCGATTCTCCTGCCTTCAGCCTCCCAAGTAGCTTGGATTACAGGTGCCTGCCACCACACCCAGCTAATTTTTTGTATTTTTAGTAGAGATGGGGTTTTACCACGTTGTTTGGACTGGTCTGAAACTCCTGGCTTCAAGTGATCCACCCACCTCGGCCTCCCAAAGTGCTGGGATTACAGGCATGAGCCACTACACCTGGCCTGAAATAGCCTCTTAACTGGCCTCTCCCTTGCCCTGTTACAATCCAGTCTGTGCCCAGGAGCTAGAGTGAGTTTTAAGCATTGTTACCCAGATTATGTGTGATTAAAATGATCCCCAATGATTCCCATTACTCATAGAAAAACCTAAATTCCTCACTGGTCTCTCAAACCCTGTGTGACCTGGCTGAAACATGCCCTCCCATCAGATGGGGTGTGGGGGTGCTGTCAGATTAATCTTCATGAAGCTTAGCTCTGACCATGTATTTCCCTTATTCAGGAAGCTTCAGTGGCCCTCAGCTGTCTTTAGGATACAGTTCACACCTGTCAGCCCACCTCTAAGTCTGGCCCCCTTGGGAGCTCCTACCAGCTACTGTCTGCCAAATTGATCTGCACACATCTTAGCCCCAGAGCAAGCCAACCTTGCCTTCACTTGCCAACCTGCCTCCTCTTCTTTATATTTGGATACTAACGTCTTAGCTGATAGGGTAGATCCCAGCTGCCCCCTGCCTTCTTCCCTGTCAGGCCTCCCCAGGGACTCCCTGCCAAGCGTCTGTCACCAACATCCCTCAGCAGGGAGCCCTGAGGGGTATGGGAACGAAGCCTCCCAGTGGTCAATTGCAGCCTTCCTCACTCTGGTCCAGGAGAGATGAGGTGAGAGAGGGCCTGGGGAAACCTTTGGAGACAAAGGCCTCGCATCCCCTTCCTCCCAGGCAGGGGCAGCCTTCCACCACGGGGAGCCCAGCTGTCAGCTGCCTCACGGGAAGATGCTGCGTCAGCGGGGCCGCCCTGGCCTGGATGTGCACGTGGGTGCAGCTCTGGGAGCACTGTGGTTCTGCCTCACAGGTGAGGGGAGCATCGTGGGGACTGGCGGGGAGGGACAGTGATTGTGGCAGTTGGGGAGGGGGTGGCCGTGCCTGTCAGGGTCCTGCCAAGCCAGCTCTGGCCAGCAGGGCCATACCTCACTTCCACCTCTGGGATCCAGTAGGTAACTCACTTGACCATTCTTAGCCTCCATTTCCTTGTCTGTAAAATGGGAACATGAGCGATAAACGTGATCGTGCTATTTCTTGAACACATTGTGTGTCTCCCCCCGCCCTCCACCCGCCCCAGGACCTTTGCACACACTTTTTTCTCTGCCTTTGCCTGGAACTTTCTGCCCCTAGACATCTGCATGACTGGATCCCCTGTTTTGTTGAGGTCTTTGCTCAATGTCACCTTCTCGCAAGGCTCTCCTGGCTACCTTGTATAACATAGCACACCGCCGCTCCTTCCTCCCTATTCCGGGCGTTCCCTGGGCTGCTATTCCTAGATGCACCCCCACCTGACGTTTGCTTGCTTCTTCCCTGTTCAAAGAGTAGGGTCCATCCCAGGGCCAGGGCGGCTGCTGCACGGTAGGTACCCAGTAACTGCGTAGAATAAACGATGTGAATCTCCCCACACAGTGCTTGGCACACAGGAAGCACTCAATAGTAATAGCTACTTTAATAACAATATCCTTCTCATATTACAAATTCTTATCAGTATCTGCTCCGAGATGCTGCCACCACGGGGGATGACAAAGCTGAGTGTCTGGCGCCATCTTATGGCCATAAAGGAGTGATGCCTGTCTCTACCCATGGCTGTTCTGATTTCTTTAGAGCGAGAAAAGATTTTGTATGGGTGACTTACCAGGTTTCATTCCCCCAAATGCCCCCTACAAGGGGCACCCTGGTCCGACTGATGTGGCCTGGGGCACCAGGGGTTGTAGCAAGAGAGCCAAAGCTAGCTTAAGAACTTTAGAGACCTCTATGTACTGCAAAGACTATGATGCTGTGTATGATTCACAATAAAAATAATAGGCCAGGCACAGTGGCTCACGCCTGTAATCCCAGCACTTTGGGAGGCCAAGGTGGGCGGATCACCTGAGGTCGGGAGTTCGAGACCAGCCTGGCCAACTTGGTGAAACCCCATCTTTACTAAAAATACAAAAATTAACCAGGCGTGGTGGCATGCCCTGTAATCCCAGCTACTCAGAAGGCTGAGGCAGGAGAATCGCTTGAACCTGGGAGGCAGAGGTTGCAGTGAGCTGAGACTGTGCCATTGCACTCCAGCCTGGGCAACAAGAGTGAAACTCTGTCTCAATAATAATAATAACAACCATAAAATCAGTGTTATTTTTCTAAATGCAGGAAACCTTTAATGAGTGCTGTATTCAGTTAGCGTTGTTTCAGGGCTGATCTTCACACATTTGAGTGTGCCTGCTTTGCCAGTGCTTGAAGCACACAGTCTGACCATTACCTGAGAATGGTAGTGCCCGGGCGGGGGCTTGCTTCCCCAAAAGAAAGGCTATCAGGACCCCTGCCTAGCTATCCAGGGCTCTAGAAGAAGAACTAGGATGAAGACAGAGGTGACTGGGTGGGGAGGCTGCAGGGTAACTCCACAGGATGGAGGGCAGGATGGGAGCAGGGGACTCTGCCCCAGGGGCTTTTTGCTGGAGGCTCCAGCTCTGGCTCTGGACATGACCTGTCTCTGTCTCTGGGAGCAGAGTTGACTCTGGACAGCTGGGATGCCTGTTCCTGCTTTCCCCTCCCTCCCTCCCCCCCCCCCCCCCTCCTCCTCCTCCTCCTCTTCTTCACCCTCCTCCTCTTCTTCACCCTCCTCCTCTTCTTCTTCCTCCTCTTTCTCCTCCTTCTCCTCCTCCTCTTCCTCCTCCTCCTCCTCTTCCTCCTACTCCTCCTGCTCCTCCTCTTCCTCCTCCTCCTCCTCCTCTTCTTCTTCCTCCTCTTCCTCCTCCTCCTCCTCTTCCTGCTCCTCCTCCTTCTTCTCCTTTTCCTCCTTCTCCTCTTCCTCCTCCTCCTGCTCCTCTTCCTCTTCCTCCTCTTCCTCCTCCTCCTCCTCTTCCTCCTCCTCCTCCTCTTCCTCCTCCTCCTTCTCCTCCTCCTTTTCCTCCTCCTCCTTTTCCTCCTCCTCCTTCTCCTCCTTCTCCTTCTCCTCCCCTTCTCCTCCTTCTCCTCGTCCTTCTCATCCTCCTCCTTCTCCTTCTCCTCTTTCTTCTCCTTCTCCTCCTCCTTCTCCTCCTTCTCCTCCTCCTCCTCCTCTTTCTCCTCCTCCTCTTCCTTCTCCTCCTTCCCCTTCTTCTCCTCCTCCTCCTTCTCCTCCTTCTTCTCCTCCTCCTTCTCCTCCTCCTTCTCCTTCTTCTGCTTCTTCTTCTGCTGCTGCTGCTTATGCTTCTTCTTTTTCTTCCTCTCCCTCTCCTTCTTCTTTCTCCTTCCTCCTTTCTTCTTCATATGGAGTCTTGCTTGTTGATATGGAGTCTTGCTTTCTTCATATGGAGTCTTGCTCCGTTGCCCAGGCTGGAGTGCAACGACATGATCTCGGCTCACTGCAACCTCCACCTTCTGTGTTCAAGCAGTTCTCCTGCCTCAGCCTCCTGAGTAGCTGGGATTACAGGTGCACGCCACCATTCATGCCTAATTTTCTTGTATTTTTTAGTAGAGATGGGGTTTCACTATATTGGCCAGTCTGCTCTTAAACTCCTGACCTCAGGTGATCCACCTGCCTCAGCCTCCCGCTCCGAGCCTTTTCCCCTCACTTCTAACTCATCAGCAAGTCCTGTTGATTCTCCCTCCTAAATAAACCTTGAATCTGTCCCTTTCTCCTTCCCTACTGTCACCCTTTGAAGCCACACCACCATCACTTCTTACAGGGAGGGCTGAAATAGCCCCCTAACTGGCCTACCCCTTGCCTGCTACAGTCCAGTCTCCAAAGAGGAGCTAGAGTGAGTGTTAAGCATTGCTACTCAGATAATGTCTGATTAAAACATTCTCCAATGATTGATTCCCATTACTCATAGAAATACTTAGGTTCCTCACTGGTTTCTCAAAGTCATCTTCAATCTGGGTGGGATGTGCCCTCCCATCCATGTCTGCCACACTGGACACTCCCTGATGTTTTCAAAAGGAAGGCCAGTGAAAATACTCAGGGCCTTCCACCTGCTGGGGCTCTCTCTGTATGTCAGCCCTTCTTCATTCCCTGTAAATTTCAGCTTAATCTCTTTAAAGAGCACGTGCCTCACCACCATATTTAAAGTTACAGGTATTCTTTCTTATATAAAAACTAATCGTGTTTCTTTAGGAAAAGGGACGAAAAAAGAAAAAGCACTTGTGATTCTCTCTCCTCCAGAGAAAACCACTATTGACATTTTTGATGGATACCTTTTCAACTCCCCAATTTATAAAATAACTTACACTCATGGAAATGCACATGGCGCAGGCAGGTGTAAAGTACCTGCCAGATTTTTGAAAAGCTGCTGCTTTACTGACTAACCTGCTGGCTTCTTTTCTTCACATACCTTAGTCACATGCTAATGAGAAACTGTTTGCTCATTTGTCCCTCTCTCCCATTAAAATGTAAGTTCTAGGCCGGGTGCGCTGGCTCACACCTGTAATCCCAGCACTTTGGGAGGCTGAGGTGGGTGGATCAGGAGGTCAGGAGATTGAGACCATTCTGGCCAACATGGTGAAACCCTGTCTGTACTAAAAATACAAAAAAAAGTTAGTGGGGCGTGGTGGCATGTTCCTGTAATCCCAGCTACTTGGGAGGCTGAGGCAGGAGAGAATTGCTGGAACCAAGGAGTCAGAGGTTGCAGTGAGGTTGCACCACTGTGCCCCAGCCTGGTGACAGGGCAAGACTCCTTCTCAAAAAAAAAAAAGTAAGTTCTGTAGGGATGTGACCTTAGTACTGCTCTCTGTTGCATTTCTGACTCTTACGCTTGGCACCTGTAGGTACTCACTATATTCTTGACTGAATGAGGACCTAAGACAATAAATTACTTTGCGTCTCAGGCCTAAGAGGAGGGATGGACAGGTCTGGGGTTAGTGTGGGCAGGGAGGGGGACTACGGAGGCCCAGAGAGTTCCCACCCCTCCTCAGTCCCCCTTATATCTCCCCCACTGCCCCTGCCCCAGGAGCCCTGGAGGTCCATGTCCCTGAAGACCCGGTGGTGGCCCTGGTGGGCACCGATGCCACCCTGCGCTGCTCCTTCTCCCCTGAGCCTGGCTTCAGCCTGGCACAGCTCAAGCTCATCTGGCAGCTGACAGACACCAAACAGCTGGTGCACAGCTTCGCCGAGGGCCGGGACCAGGGCAGCGCCTATGCCAACCGCACAGCGCTCTTCCCGGACCTGCTGGTGCAGGGCAACGCATCCCTGAGGCTGCAGCGCGTGCGCGTGGCAGACGAGGGCAGCTTCACCTGCTTCGTGAGCATCCGGGACTTCGGCAGCGCTGCGGTCAGCCTGCAGGTGGCTGGTGAGTGCCAGGAGGGAGACGCCTTCCCCTTGGTTCACCCTCCATTCCCCCTGCAGCCCACCCCCTTCCACACCACTGCCCCCAGAGCCCCAGCCCCAGTGCTGACTCCTGTTCTCGGCCTCATGCATTCTTTTCTTCCTCTGCCATTGCCCTGCTTTTGACCCCACCCTCTGCCACATCCAGCTCCCTACTCAAAGCCCAGCATGACCCTGGAGCCCAACAAGGACCTGCGGCCCGGGGACATGGTGACCATCACGTGCTCCAGCTACCGGGGCTACCCTGAGGCCAAGGTGTTCTGGCAGGACGGGCAGGGTGCGCCCCTGACCAGCAACGTGACCACGTCGCAGATGGCCAACGAGCAGGGCTTGTTCGATGTGCACAGCGTCCTGCGGGTGGTGCTGGGTGCAAATGGCACCTACAGCTGCCTGGTGCGCAACCCCGTGCTGCAGCAGGACGCGCACGGCTCCGTGACCATCACACCCCAGAGAAGCCCCACAGGTTTCTTTGCTTAAATGTCCCCTGGGGGGTGGGGGGTTCTGCTTCTATCAGCAGGGGTTGGGAGCTCCGAATCTGGCCCCACCGTCAATCTCCCAGAACAGCAAGTTGCCTTCTAATGACAGGGAGAAAGATCACAGGGAAGTGGGGGTGTCTATTGGATGGGTTGGGGGCTGAGCCATCACAGGCCTTCTTGGCTCTCCTGACTTGAAGCCTCTGGGAAGATTGGAGCCACATCTGGGTCAGCAGCCAGATGACAGAGGAAAGAAGTCCTGGTGGCAGTGCGGGATTCACTAGGGCTGGAGCCTGTGAGAGTTACCTGCCCCAGGCCTGGCCCCTGGGATTGAGCTGGTCCAGCCAAGGTCAACCTGCCGTGATTGTTCTCAGAGGACTCGGGAGACTCCATGTCTGGGAGTCCCCAGGCTCAATCTGCTTTTGCGTCTACAAGAAAATAGGAAGATGGAACAGGGTCTGGGGGTTGATGGGGGAAGATGTCGGGGGGACTCGGGTGGTAGCCTGGAGAGTCCCACCTCTCCTCACCATCTGCCCCTCTGCCCCCACACCCAGGAGCCGTAGAGGTCCAGGTCCCTGAAGACCCGGTGGTGGCCCTGGTGGGCACCGATGCCACCCTGTGCTGCTCCTTCTCCCCTGAGCCTGGCTTCAGCCTGGCACAGCTCAACCTCATCTGGCAGCTGACAGACACCAAACAGCTGGTGCACAGCTTCGCCGAGGGCCGGGATCAGGGCAGTGCCTATGCCAACCGCACAGCGCTCTTCCCGGACCTGCTGGTGCAGGGCAACGCATCCCTGAGGCTGCAGCGCGTGCGCGTGGCAGACGAGGGCAGCTTCACCTGCTTCGTGAGCATCCGGGACTTCGGCAGCGCTGCGGTCAGCCTGCAGGTGGCTGGTGAGTGCCAGGAGGGAGATGCCTTCCCCTTGGTTCACCCTCCATTCCCCCTGCAGCCCACCCCCTTCCACACCACTGCCCCCAGAGCCCCAGCCCCAGTGCTGACTCCTGTTCTCGGCCTCATGCATCCTCTTCCTCCTCTGCCATTGCCCTACTTTTGACCCCGCCCTCTGTCACCTCCAGCTCCCTACTCGAAGCCCAGCATGACCCTGGAGCCCAACAAGGACCTGCGGCCCGGGGACACAGTGACCATCACATGCTCCAGCTACCGGGGCTACCCTGAGGCTGAGGTGTTCTGGCAGGACGGGCAGGGTGCACCCCTGACCAGCAACGTGACCACGTCGCAGATGGCCAACGAGCAGGGCTTGTTCGATGTGCACAGCGTCCTGCGGGTGGTGCTGGGTGCAAATGGCACCTACAGCTGCCTGGTGCGCAACCCTGTGCTGCAGCAGGACACGCACGGCTCCGTGACCATCACAGGTAGGGACAGATGGACAGCTGGGGAAGGAGTGAGTAACTGCCTCTTTACTGGACCCTAAGCTAGAATTTTCATAGGTTTGGGTGGCCAGAAGACTTTTTCAAAATCCCTTTTATAGACTTCAGGGGCTCACACTCTTCCTACAAGTCCTTAAGGGACTCGAGCTGATAAGAACCATTTATAATGTTTGCCTTCCTAAGAGTACTTTTCGTGGCACTTAGCCTCTTATGCAGAGGACTTTGTACCTGCCTGGAATTTGGAGGCATGGGCAGGAATTCTGGGGCAGCCACAAGGCATGACCCAGGGGACTTGGTGTGGGTGTGCTCTCCAACAGGAACTCCTCTGGGTAGTGGGAAGGTATTCTGGGTCAGTGGGCACCATCGGATTCTGAAGCCTTGAGTGACAGCTGCACCTCCCCAGTGAGTCCCTGACACCTGAGTCAACGTCAGCTTTTCTTCCTGCAGACTTGAGCTCCACCCAGGCAGCAGTTGGATGGGCCGGGGCTGTCTCTGCTGCCCCCATGTGGTCAAACACCAGATAGAGGCCATCCCTTTAGCGATTCTTAGTTTCCAGGTACGAGCCTGGTGGGCACCCGTTGTCCCTGTGGGTCTGAAGAGGGTTGAGGCCAAGAGCCGCCGTCTCCGTCTGTGTTTGGCCCCGCGAGGCCTCCAGTCAGTCTTTTCCTGGGCCGATGTGCTCGGTCTGGCTCTTCAGTATCTCTCCCTGGGCCAACTGAGCTTTCCCAGGGACCTCGTCCTGGAGCACAGTGAGGTCAGGACAGCAGGTTTTGTCTGTCTGGTTGTCCTCTCATCTTCCGACGACTTCCACCTGACCCCCAGCCCATCCAAGTTCGATCTCGCACCCAGTTTCCAGGTCTGCCCACACCCCGGGACTCGCTGACTTATTCCTATCCTTTCCCTCTTGCGTCCCATGCAGTCCCCACTTCTGACAAGCTCAGAGCCAGGGCCCGTTGCATCGTCTGCTTGGAGCTCAGGCTCACTCCTCCTCCTCTCTTACGTGTTTCCTTCTGCCAAGGTTGTGCTCCCTCTGCCCATCCCTTCCCCAAGACGGAAAACACTTCCTTCCTGGAGAACCCATGGGTCTGTGCTCTCTGGGAGAGTGTAGCTGCCCTGAGCTCTTGAATGTTCTGAGCCACGTCCTTGACCTTTTAGAGAATGGCATATGGTCCGTGAAAATACTATTCACAGGAGAAAATAAGCAGAATCTTGGCAGAGGATAGGAAGCTTTCAGAGCAGGGAGGGCGATAGTGAGGACACCTCCAGGGGCAAGTGGCAGCTGAAAAGGCCTTGAAAGATAAGGGGACTTTGTGGTCATTTGCACCCTGGGCTGAGCTGGATATTTGCAGTGCTGTGCAGAAAGGACTTATGCGTACAAATGTGATTGCAAAGAGAATGTTTATCTCACCTAAGAGAAAATTCTCTATTTTAAACATGAGTAACTAGCATTTAAAGTGCTTTTTTAAAAAAAATTTAGGGCTGGGCATGGTAGCTTATGCCTGTAATACCACGCTTTGGGAGGCCAAGGCAGGCGGATCACTTGAGGTCAGGAGTTTGAGACGAGCCTGGTCAGTATGGCGAAACCCCGCCTCTACTAAAAAATATAAAAATTAGCCGAACGTGGTGGCACGCACATGTAGTCCCAGCTACTCAGGAGGCTGAGGCAGGAGAATCGCTTAAACCGGGGAGGTGGAGGTTGCAGTAAGCTGAGATTGTGCCATTGTGCTCTAGCCTGGGTGACAGAGCAAGACACTGTCTCAAAAACTAACTAACTAAAATAAAATAAATGAAAATGATTTCATTGAGACCATTGTTGCCTCAGGTGAAGAAACTGAGGTCCACACAGAAGGGGTATCTTTCCCAAGGTCACAGACTGGCATGGTGGTTCTGAATCTTTGGGAGTCAGACCCTTCTTTGAAAATCAGGTAAATGATCGATGCAGCAGATTGCATATATAACTTTGGAGGGTTTACGGCCTCCCTAAACTCCCCCGTGGATCTGTAGACCTGGGCTTCAGCACCCCGCAGTGAGGAGATGAGCCACGATCAGAATCCAACTTTGGCCTCTCAGCCTAATTTCCTCTCCTCCCCACCAGCCAGCCTCCTGTTTGTGTTACAGCAGGTCTGGCCTACTTTGGAGCCCTTGGCCTGTATTTTGCTTCAGGCAGCTTTGTGTCATGTAAAACATTCTGGGATTCAGACTTTCCGTCCTCTAGCTGGTCTCCCCCATACCTGATGAAGTTAGTGAAGCTGAGTGTGCTATGTAGAGCCTCTCGGAGGAGGATTTATGGAGCAAGCCCAGGAGACGTGGCCTGAGGCCTAGCTCTGTCCTTTCTTGGGTGACTAGGGCAAATCTAATATGTGTTCCAGGGACAACACCAGCTAAGAGGGAACATAGAAAGAGACCCTCCCCTTGAGTATTTCTGTGGCTCTGCCGCCTACTCTGCTACCAGAGCCCCATGATGGGATTTCCGGGTTGTTGCTTTTCTCTTTTTAATGTGTGCTCTGTGCACGGGCCCTCCTGGCCCCCACATCAGCTGCTGCCCTCCTTTTCTGCATACCTCTCTTCATCACTGGGGTGATGGATCCCTCTGCTTCCAATGGCCGGAGCAGCAGTGTTGCCAACGGTGCCTATTGAGGGTGACGTCTGCAGATCCCTGTGCCAGGTGCTTCTGTGCTGGGGCCTCTGCTGCTGACGGGTTCATGGCACCGCACGCTGCGCTGACAGAGCCTCCTGCAGAAGCTGCTGCGGCCCTGGGCACACACTGTCTCCAGAGAGGAAAGGAAAGCAGCACTGTCTTTGGTTAAGACTTTTCCTCTCTAGACCTCTGCCCAGGACCCAGCTGAGTACAGGGGCTGGGCTGGAAGATGCTGTGCAAGGTGGAGCCACACAGGCCGTGCTCAGAACAGCTGCTGGCCCTGCCCAGGTTTGCACTCCTCAGCTTCATCCCTCTTAACAGGAGATCTCTAACAGGAGGGGCCTCAGTGTTTCATGTAAATATTCCCCTTCAAGGCCCCTGCACACCTACCTGACTCCATCGAAAACTCTGAGCCCTGGCTCCAGCCCACTCAGTGACCTCATCTGTCTGTAGGGCTCAGCAAATGTTTTCTGTAAACGGCCAGGGAGTAAATGTTTTTAGGCTTTGCGGACCACACACCACCCCTGTTGCTGCTGCTTCTCCTTCTGTTCCTCCTCCGCCTTCCCCCATCTTTTTTTGGTAACCCTTTACAAATGTAAAAACCATCACTAGTTTGTGGACTCTGCAAAAGCAGGCCGCAAGCCGGCTTTGGACCGTGAGCTGTGGTTTGCTGCCTCCCGATTCATAGGATGGGAGATGTCACCAGGTGGGGCTGGAGCAGTCGGAGAGGGCCTCTGGAGGAGGTGAATACTGAGCTGGGGGAGAGTGTGAGAAATTGATAGCAATCGTACAGAGGTTGCAAGGAGCCCGTTGCTTCTGGAGAGAATGGTTAAGACATCAGTTTGGCTGGAGCTGAGGCTCCTACAGGAGAATTAGAAAGAAAGTTCGGGCGGGGGGAACAGCAGCCAGGTTATAGAGGTCCTTGAATCACTCTGAGAAGCTGGAAGCATTATTCTAAAGTCACTAGGGAGCCATAGAAGGTTCTTGAGCATCATTCAACCACAGACTCTTCAACTCTTCCCAGTTGAGGCATGCCTACATCAGCCAGGATTGTGTCAGGGCTTGGACAGTGTATGGGGAAGGGGCTATGGGAACTTAAGTGAGCTTTATTCACAGTGTTAGGGCCCAATGAGGTTGGGAGCCCCTCTTCACACTTGGAGCCGGATGGTGCTGTCCTCCGGGACATGGGGCCAGACACGACAGTCTCACTGTTCCTACTTTTCCTCCCAGGGCAGCCCATGACATTCCCCCCGGAGGCCCTGTGGGTGACTGTGGGGCTCGCTGTCTGTCTCGTTGCACTGCTGGTGGCCCTGGCTTTTGTGTGCTGGAGAAAGATCAAACAGAGCTGTGAGGAGGAGAATGCAGGTGAGTGTGTGTGTGTGTGTGTGTGTGTGTGTGTGGGTGTGTGGGTGTGTGTGTGCGCGCACTTATGTGTCTTGGGGTATGTTGCTGTGTCTTTGCTGTCAGTAGTTACTTTCCAGTGACAGAATGAGTGTGAGTGTGCACATGGGGCTGGATTTGTCTGTGTATGACCTTGAGTCTATGTCTTATGTGTGTGTGAACAAGCATGAGCCTGCCTGTCCATGTGCAAATACCACAGGATGAGTGTGGATGAGTGTGACCAGAAGGTGGTGGAGGGGTAAGGCCGAGTGCTACAAGGGGATGAGTGTGTCTGTGCAAACAAGTGTGCCTGTGAGAGTATAACTCACGAGCGTGTGTGAGAGAGCAGGATGGAGCATGGAAGCTGAGCAGCACAAATATGGGCATACCAGGGGCGTGCATGGCACTGGGGAGGAACGTGCCTGCCTCAGAGCGAGAGCGTCTGAAACAGCGGCTCTTTGTGGGGCTGAGGGTCAGTCTGAGCTGGCATTGCTGACTGGTAACTGGGTGAGAGGACATAGGTGGGTGGTGAGTTGACCCTGGTGGGTAAACAGATGCATGAGAGTAGATGGGTAGTCAGAGGCTGGGGATGACTGGGGGTCAGGAAGAGAGGGAAGAAGAGAGTGGTCAGCTGGAGAGAGGTGAGTACTTGTGAGGTAGACAGGTGGAAGGATAGTGGGTGGATAGCTGGCTGGTTACATCTGTTGGAGGTTGATGGTTGGCAGGGCTACTGAGCGAGGGGATGGGTGAGGTGATGGGTAGGTGGGCTGGTGGAGTGTATGGTCTCTGGCTGGGTAAGTAGTGGGCTCCAGGCTGGGTGGATGGTCTCTGGATGGGTGACTGGTGGGAACTCCAGGCTGGGTGGATGGTCTCTGGATGGGTAAGTAGTGGGCTCCAGGCTGGGTGGATGGTCTCTGGATGGGTGTGGTGGGCTCCGGCTGGGTGGATGGTCTCTTGCTGGGTGAGTGGTGGGAGCTCCAGGCTGGGTGGATGGTCTCTGGATCGGGGAGTGGTGGGCTCCAGGCTGGGTGGATGGTCTCTGGCTGGGTGAGTGGTGGGAGCTCCAGGCTGGGTGAATGGTCTCTGGATGGGTGTGGTGGGCTCCAGGCTGGGTGGATGGTCTCTGGATGGGGGAGTGGT